AATTTTCGATCCCTTTGCTCTGCTACTCCTGAAATTTGGAACTGTTGTACAATGGTTTTATATATAACACTACTGATAGGACTCTTTGTAGAAGAAGTTCCAAAAACATATGTTGGCTTTTCGAGAAATAGACCTCTAAAAATGCTCCAAATCGTAAAAATACGACGTTTTCGATTTTCGATCTCTTTTTTCGGCTACCCCTGACATTTAAAAAAATAATACAGTAGTTTCACAAAACAGCCAACCCATTAGTTTCTCGATTGAGAAAGATTTAAAAAAATCGTTGGGGGCGTTTCCGAGAAACATGCGTCTAAAGTTGCTCGAAATCGCCAAATACCTTACTTTTCTAAGTCACATAACTTTTTTATTTTTTGATAGAAACTTGTCGCTGAAGTACTATCTGATAGACAATTCAATTGGCTATGAAACGATATAGAACTTTAACTAATCGGCAAAAACACAATTGGTACATCGCATTTTCCGCACAGGCACCCATTTATCTGAATTTTGTCAAAGTTTGGGTACTTTTCTTGACTACTTCCGATGATTAGAGGATTTTCATTTATAGTTGATGGACTGGTTTGGTCCTTTGACTTCATATTCCTGAAGTTTCAGAAAAATCGTTGGAGCTGTTTTAAAAAAATAAGAACTCTACGATTTGACCAAAATGCGAAATAAAGTGAAAATCAAAGTTAACATTTCAGAACAAAACTTTTATTGTTGGAATCGGATTGATGTCAGCTATACAAAAATATAACTGAAATTTCAAAATTCCCAAAAATAAAAATTTGAGAAAGTTTTGAAAATTTTCCATTTTTCACCAAAAAAATGAGAGCGACAAAGTTTCTAAATTACACAGTTTAGAACTGCTATTTGCTCAGAAATGTCTCCAGCTATCCAAAAATGTAAATATCTGAAGAATCCATTGAGAATTAAGAGAATGATGGCCGATTTTCAACTTTCGTGCACGTTAAAGATTTGACGCATTTCCAGTATGCGTACAAATTTTGTTTTACATTTATCAACTAACCACCACCCAGTTTCCCGAGAGAAAACCAAACTTCAGACCTCTATCTCTTATAGTTGCTGAGAAATAGGCTCCCCCAATAAAAAACTAAATCATAATATTAATCTTAGTAATAGCAATAGTCTTTCACCGAAAGGTGAAAGCCTAATTAGGCCCTATTTTTTATCTTCACATTCATATTATCCTAGTACTAGTAGTAGGCCTATTTATATGAGCCTTTTAAACCTTGCAAAATCATTGGGTTTTTTAGAATGAGAGGATAGTGTGTGTGCTCATGTGTTGGCAATAATAATAATGATTGAAATGGAAGATAGGAGGATAGAAAAATGTCCCTTCACAACCATCATCGACGAGTTTACCACAGCAGGGAGATAAGCCAAGGGTGGCGAAAATTTAACCAGACCCTGTTTCACAGATTATAATTTCAAGACCTGGACATGTAAACAGAAAAAGAAAGCCTGTGATGGCTAATTTTAACGACAACAGGTAAGTGTTCAGATGACATGGGCAACCACCACATGCTTGCTTTGTAGCTTAATAGTGGGGCGGTTAAGCAAAAAATCGTCCATTTTGGGATAAAAGCATGAAACTTGGCACATAGATGCCATCAACCCTACTGATTGTTTTGGGATGTGGATCCACCTCACAGTAAGACATTTTTTTTACAAAAAATTTCAGGCCAGCAATTTTCAGAGGCGAAATTGCTAGTTGAACACGATTTTTGAGAAAAGATTTATCTATGACGTCATTTTCGGTTGGGGTTTGTCGGATTTCAAAAATGGCCGCCAAAATTTGAAGAAAAATGAATTTCCAGATAGGATGGGTGATTATCACGCAAAGTATGGCATGTAATATATCAAATATAAGGTTTTTTGTTGTAATTGAATTGAAAAATAGTCTCTAAAACTAGTTTCCCCAAATCCATTATGGCTGAAATTCAAAATGGCCATAATTCAGGAAGTTACGGTCCGATATGCACAAATATCGAAAGGAACCGAGATCTTTGGGTTATAAACTTACATTTCAAGTTTCAACAATATTGCATAACCAGTGGCTGCCAGGCAGGATACGCCCACATTTTCGAGAGATGGATAGAGAACAAGCTAAAAAGAAAGTGATTTTTCCTACAATCAAGGGCCATGATTCAGGAAATTACAATTCGATATGCGCAAATATCGAAAGGAACCGAGATCTTTGTGTTATAAACTTACATTTCAAGTTTCAACAAAATCGGATAAAAATTGTGACCTCCATAGGATCCACAACCTTGATATACCATATTTTTACGCTATTTGAGAACGAAGGGTGCCCATTTTGTCTGTCAATTTTGGGCCGATTTTCACGAAATTTGAACTCTGTCGTCCTTAGGGTGTAACGGTGATATAATAATACGGTTTTTTAAATCGGATAAAAATTATGACCTCTATAGGGTCCACAAGCTAAAAACGCGATTTTTCGTACAATCAGGGGCCATAATTCAGGAAGTTACGGTCCGATATGCGCGAATATCAAAAGGAACTGAGATCTTTGGGTTATAAACTTATATTTCAAGTTTCAACAAAATCGGATAAAAATTGTGACCTCTATAGGGTCCACAAGCTAAAAACGTGATTTTTCGTACAAACAGGGGCCATAATCCATGAAGTTTCGATCCGATACATGCCAATATCGAAAGCAGCCGAGATCTTTTGGAGATAAGCCTATATTTCAAGTTTCGTCAAAATCGGATAAGAATTGTGACGTGTAGAGGGTCCACAAAGAATTGTGGACGGACGGACGGCCGGACGGACGGACGTCCGGACGGACAGGGGCGAAGGCATAATACGTCCACATGAAAATATGGGCGTATAATAGGGTCCACAAGCTATAAACGTGATTTTTCGTACAAACAGGGGCAATAATCCATGAAGTTTCGATCCGATACATGCCAATATCGAAAGCAGCCGAGATCTTTTGGGGACCTATATGTCAAGTTTCGTCGAAATCGGATAAGAATTGTGACCGGTAGAGTGTCCACAAACAATTGTGGACGGACGACAATAAACGTCCACATGAAAATGTGGGCTTATAAAAACAATACCACAGTTAGTAAAATTAAAAATAAAAAAGAACTTTTATGCATAGAAATATTAAATACAATGATATAAAATTAATGATAAAATCCTGTCTCCTTTAAAAAGTCGAACACTTTACCATATAAACCCGGTTTGGCAAACATGTGATGTAATGACTGACAACGGTAAAAATTCGATCTAATATCCTTTAAATGCTTGCACTCAATCAATATGTGCTTAACTGTCGGCCAGTTTGATTCGCAGTTAGTGAAGGGTAAGTATTCTTAGTGAAGAATAACTTACTTAGGGTTGACTTGATCTTGGCGGCTTGATCGGTCCAATCTGCCGCTAGGCGAATAGGTTGCCAATTTGTGGCTAGGCTGGAGTCAGCGGACGTTACGCTGAGCGAACGTTTTATAACCTTCACCCTCATCGTCGAAAGCTTTAATTAACAAAACACAATGTTTAGCCAATGAAGTGAGCGTACGGAATGAATAACAAATGTCCGCACTACTAATCTATTTAAACCACTGAAGACACACAATAATTGGCACGAAATGAAACAGTCTTTATCCCCCATTTCTGTAGCACCATAGATAATTTCGGAAAGTTACTGGAATACACCGCAAAACTGGTTGAATTAATTACCGGTTAAACCGCAAAACACTTTAATGTCAATTCTGTTTACCAAACGTCCGCTGCGTTGCTGTTTCATTTACTTGAGCCACTCAATACTTGGCATAGAATGGAAGAGTGGTTATCCCTCTATCATTTGGCACCATAGATTATTCTTGAAAATCCTCAGCATAATCTGAAATCCGTCCTAGGAAAGCAGTACCCCCCCCCCCCTCTCCGTCTTGTTTGTCAATTCTGGTTTACCAAACGACCGCTGCTATTTTATTTTCTTGAGCCACTAAATACATGACATGGAATTAAAGAGTGTTTATCCCTCTTTCATGTTGCAACAAAGCTTATTCTTTAAAATACATGACTTGGAATTTAAGAGTGTTTATCCCTCTTTCATGTGGCACCATAGATTATTTCTGAAAGCCCTCGATTCAGTCTTAAATCCGTCCCAGAAAAGCTGCTTTCCTAGCACGGATTTCAGATTATGCTGAGGACTTTCAAGAATAATCTATGGTGTCACATGATAGAGGGATAACCACTCTTTCATTCTATGCCAAGTATTGAGTGGCTCAAGAAAATGAAATAGTAGCGGTAGGTTGGTAAAGCACAGTTCACAAAGAGTAGGGGAGTGGGGGCTTTTCGGACGTATTTAAGACTATGACGAGGATTTTAAAGAATAAGCTATGCCAAGTATTGAGTGGCTCAAGTAAATGAAACAGCAACGCAGCGGACGTTTGGTAAACAGAATTGACATTAAAGTGTTTTGCGGTTTAACCGGTAATTAATTCAACCAGTTTTGCGGTGTATTCCAGTAACTTTCCGAAATTATCTATGGTGCTACAGAAATGGGGGATAACGACTGTTTCATTTCGTGCCAATTATTGTGTGTCTTCAGTGGTTTAAATAGATTAGTAGTGCGGACATTTGTTATTCATTCCGTACGCTCACTTCAACGGCTAAACATTGTGTTTTGTTAATCGCAGCTTTCGACGATGAGGGTCAAGGTCATAAAACGTCCACTCAGCGTAACGTCCGCTGACTTCAGCCCAGCCAATTTGTGTTCGTTTCACCGGAATTCACTCTGAAGATATCAGAATTCGCCCGTGAAATCTTCCCATTTACTTATATTTACCATTAATATTAATATTGAATTACTTTAAAACACATAAAATCACCGAAATTCACATTGAAAACATATTAACACCGGAATTACTTTGTTTCAACATATCGGAATTCGCACTTAAGACCTTAGTATTCAATAATATTTTACATTAATAAAAATTTAACCATACCCATGCAGGGACAGTAAATCACATAGCCTTGTGTGTCCCATACGATACATTTTCCAACTGCAAAAGAAGATATGAATATACATAAAGCTGCGTAATATTTCATTGCTGTCCCTGTTCCCGTCTTGGGCCGTTGGGATGAAGTCAGGGGACGTTATTTGAGTGGACGTTTTATGACCTTGACCCTCATCGTCGAAAGCTGCGGTTAACAAAACACTATGTTTAGCTGTTGAAGTGAGTACGGAATAAATAACAAATCTCCGCGCTAGTATTTAATCCATTGAAGACACACAATAATTGGCATGACATGAACCATTCTTTATCCCCCATTTATGTGACACCATAGATAATTTCTGAAAGTCAGGTTGAATTAATTACCGGTTAAACCGCAAAACACCGGAATATACTGATCTCCCTTTTCTATCGACTTTCATTTACCAAACATAAATGTTTCTTTTTTTCCTGAGCCATCCAATACATTACATGGCACCATAGAATATTCCTGAAAGTCCTCGAAAGAGTCTGAAATCCGTCCCGAAAGAGCTCTACACCCCTCCCTCCCCCCCCCCCCCCACACACTTTTTTCTCAATTGTGATTTACCAAACGCAAACGCCCTCTGCCATTTCCTTGAGCCACCTAATAATTGGCATTGAATGAACGAGTGTGTATCCCTCTTTCAGGTGGCACCCTAGATTATTCCTTATATACCTCGACTTAGTCTGAGATCCGTCCCCGAAAAACAATACCCCCACCCCGTGTTTATTTGTTCAAGTCTGATTTACAAAACGGCCGCTCCTATTTTATTTTCTTGAGCTACTCAATACTTGGCATGGAATGAAAGAGTGTTATCCCTCTTTCATGTGGCACCATAGATTATTCCTGAAAACCCTCGATTTAGTCTGAAATTCTTCCCCGAAAAGCACACCCTACCCTATCTTTTTATCAATTCTGTTTTACCAAACGTGCGCTTCTATTTTATTTCGGTGAGCCACCCAATACATTACATGGGATGAAAGGGTAGTTATCCCTCTTTCATGTGGCATCATAGAATATTCCTGAAAGTCATCGACACACTTCTGTCTTTCTTTGTCAATTCTGTCTCACAAAACATCCATTGCTATTTTATTTTTCCTGAGCCACCCGAAAATAGGCTTTGAATGAAAGAGAGTCTACCCCTCTTAAAAGTGACACCATAGAATATTCCTCAAAGGCCTTGACACCATAGAATATTCCTCAAAGGCCTCGACTTGGTCTGAAATCCTTCCCCGAAAAGCACTTACACCCCTCACTTTTTTTATCAATTCTGCTTTACCAAACTTCCGCTGCTATTTTATTTTCATATAAAAAAATTTATCTTTCATGTGGCACCATATTTTATTCCTTAAAACCCTCGACTTAGTCTGAAATCTGTCCCCGAAAAGCAATACCCCCATCCCGTCATTTTTTTTCAAATCCATCCCATGAAAGCTGTCCTCCTCCCCCTTTCTTTTATGTCAATAATCATACAAAACGTCTGCTGTTTCATGTTCTTGAGCCACTCAATATTTGGCATGAAATGGAAGACTGTTTATCCCTCTTTCGTGTTGCAACATAGATTATTCTTTAAAATCCTCGACATAGTCTGAAATATATTCGAAAAGCTCCCACCCGACCCCTCCCTACACCTTTTCTTTGTGAAGTGTGCTTTACAAAACACGTAGTGCTATTTCATTTTTTTTCAATTCCGTTTTACCAAACGTCCAGTCCTATTTTATTTTCTTGAGCCACGCAAATACTTGGCATGGAATAAATGGGTGGTTATCTCTCTATCATGTGGCACCATAGATTATTCTTGAAAGTCCTCAGGAAAGCAGTACCTCCCGCCCCCGTCTTGTTTGTCAATTCTGTTGTACCAAACGTCCGCTGCTATTTTATTTTCTTGAGCCACTCAATACATGTAATAGAATGAAAGAGTGTTTATCCCTCTTTCTGTTGGCACCATAGATTATTCATGAAAGCCCTCCACTCAGTCTTAAATCCGTCCCAGAAAAGCTCCCCCCCCCACCTTTATTTTATGTCAATAATCTTACCAAACGTCCGCTGTTTCATGTTCTTGAGCCACTGAATAAATGATATGGTACAACTTCCAAAATTTCTGCCTCGATGTAATAATACGTGTCCGCCAATCAATATAACCACTGATATAATAAAATCACTTATTAAAAAAATGAACACTTCGAAAGCAAATGGACCTGGTAATATTAATAATCTATTTTTAAAATCAACTTTGCAAAGTATATGTCTCCCACTTAGTAAGATATTTAATTTAATTGTAAGTAAGCGTACGTTTCCGAGCAATTAGAAATTAGCTTATGTAATTCCTCTGCACAAAAAAAGATAACCGAACAGACTTAAAAAAATTATAGGCCAATTTCTCTGCTTAACACTGTTTCAAAACTATTTGAAAGAATTATATATCAGCATATTTTAGTTAATAAACAAATTACAGCAATAATATTTTGTGATATTTCGAAAGCCTTTGACAAAGTTTCCCATAACGGTTTACTTCATAAAATGTCTAATTATGGAATTAAAGGTGATTTACTTGGGCTAGTTTCCAATTACATAACACATAGAAAACAACAAGTCATACTTGAAAACTGTCATTCGTGTATTACATTTCGCAATGCCGGGGTCCCACAGGGCTCTGTACTTGGTTCGCTACTTTTTCTTATCTATATAAATGACATATATGAAGGTCTAATAAGCATTTCTAGATTATTTGCAGACGACACATCTCTAATTTCAATTGATATATCTATCAACAACATTGAAAAAAAACTTAAATTCAGATCTAGATATCTTGTATACATTACATGGTCAAAGAAATTGTTGATTAATTTTAAGGAAGAATTTTTGGTAGAATCGTGCATTTTGGGTTAAAACATAGATGGCATCAGCCCTACTGAATATTTTGGGATGTGGATCCATCTCAGCAGCTCCCCCTGGTGGTCGTTACGGCGATTTTTCTCAAATTTGCCGCCAATTTATTGAAATACATATATATCTTTAGAAGTATACATTGTAGAACTATGATCTATGTGTCTAAATGTATTGCTCAACCAAGCCAGCGGACACAAAAACATAAGATATAATCAATTACATCAAACAGCACATTCAAAATGAATTTAAAGCATATTTTGTTTAAACTTAAAAATAAATAAATATTGGAACTAACTTTTCAAACTCATTTCACTCTTTGATATGGTTTATAATATGTAATTTAAAGTGTTTTCAGTGTCACTGAACTTAAAATTAATCTAAATATATAGAGTTTCCAAAATCCAAGATTGCGGAAATTCAAAATGGCGGCCAGAAATTCCCTAAAATGGTCGATTTTGCAAATAATCGTTATTTTTAAGTTTGATATGGCTAGTGATATGCGATTTAAAGGGTTTTCTGTGTCACTGAACTTAAATACAACCTCAAAAGAAGAGTTTCCAAAATCCAAGATGGTTGAAAATCCAAAATGGCGACTAGAATTTCCCTAAAATGAAAGATTTTTCAGATAATTGTCATTTTTTCGGTTTTGTATCGCTTGTAATAATGTCCTTTATGGACTTGAAAATAACCTCAGAAATGAATTTTGTAAATGAATATTACCTCAAAAATGAATTTTGAAAATGAATATTACCTCAGAAATGAATTTTGAAAATGAATATTTTACATCAAAAATGAATTTTGAAGATGGTAGATGATTGTGAATTTTCCTCTTGGATTGGCTTGTAATAGCAAAGAGTAGTAGTTATTTTGATGGTAACTGGAATAGTTAGACTGGATCTCACATAAACAAGATTTAATATTATTCCAGCAAAACAATGGGGCATATATCCAGTTGTTACGAATTCATCTATTGTTTATTCAGAAATGGTTCGAGGCAGTGGTAAGAGTAAGACTCGCCAAGAACGAGGTCAGGGGTTCGATCCCTATGTTTGCTGAGAAAGTACTTCAGGATTTTCCAGGATGCAGCACGGGGGCTTCTCAAGAAACCAGGTTTATATGTACACGTTGACGTGCGCATAAAAGAACCCTAAACAGTTGGAATTCAAAATAAGAGTATGCCATAGCACCACTGTCTCGACCAATTTTCCTCATAGCACACTGCTTGACGAATAACAATATTCATTAACTTTGTTAGTACAGAGCAGTAGGACATTAAACCCCATTTCTGGTTCAGAAGACTTATGTCCGGAAACCGTTTGTGGTATCATCTAGACAGATGGATTCATATTTTCATATTTGTCAGTCATGTATTTCACAAAGTGAAAAGTGTAAAATGAATCATCAAAGTCTCTATGTCCGGCAACTTTTGTGGTATAGTCTAAATATGGTATCCACAGATCATTTTCGTCTGTAATATATTGCACACCAAGTTCTAATCATCACGAAAATAATTTGAAATGCATTTACGACTAGTATAGGTATCCCAAAAGTCATCCCCGACGATTTCCTCTTTTCTAATGTGTTGTTGTTACATGTAGAACTTGTTGTGAAATACGTCACTGACGAAAATGACCAGTGGATACGACATCTAGACTCTACCACAAACGTTACTAGACAGAGTCTTCGATGCAAAAACCGATCACATTACTATTTCTGAACGAATAGGAGAACTTAAATTCTTAACAACTGCATATACCATAAATGATTCTCACTCCGGTAAAATGGTGCAAAGACAAAGGAGATGAAATTAAAAATGCCTCAGTTGGCCCCCTTGTATTGTTATGGCGTGGAGGTGGAGGGTCAGAATTACCAGATATTTTCTCCAAAAAATGTTTCAATTCTTAACATTATCATTAGCATCATATGGTTTTATGCATAAAACAATTAAACTACATTTATTGTGTCTTAAGGTTAAATTCTTTGAAATTCTAATTAGCTTACTGGTAAGTACTGCACATGGTTAATTGACTGACAGGTAGATTCCTGAGTCCGGTCAATTTCAGATGCCCTCAAACCACTATTACACTTTGCTATTATAAACCAATCCAATAGAAAGATTGATGATTGTCCCTTCTTTTTCTGAAACAATCATTTACAATTATCAAATTAAGTGACTCTGAAAACTTAATAGAGGACATATTACAAGCCACGTCAAACAGAAAATTGACGATTATCTTAA